AGAGGAAAATGAATATGAGGATTATGATGAAGATAAAGATGACAACGAAGATGGAGATGAATTTGACGATGACGATGAAGTTGAAGCTGAAGATGACGATGTGGCTGTAGTTGAAGATGTATGCTGCCTACCTCACCTCGCCGTCGTCTTCTTCTTTATCTGCTCCTTCGCCTCCGTTTTCGTCAGCTTCGTCAGACATTGAGTATAGCTCACCAACTGAAACTGAATATTCAGCAGCCAGTTCTACGTAACGGAATTACTTGGATTTTTCCCGACCAAGGGCGACCTAATCTCGTTGAGATCGGCGAACTCCATCAATCCGGCTGCCCGGCTATACCCTATTGTATCTCCGTAAATACCTATAAGAGAGGTCTCATCAGTGATGAACAATTTATTTTTTTCCTGCTAGATTATACATTTGGATGTGTGATGATGACGTCAGAGGAGATAACAGAAATAACACTATGTAGATGACGACAAAACTACAAAAGGTTGCCCGCAGGGAGGAGTCTTATCCCCTCTCCTGTGAAGCCTAGTTGTGGACGAACTTCTACGGATTCTCACGGACAATGGCATCCGCTGTCAAGGCTATGCGGATGACATCGTGATTATCGCCAGAGGAAAGTTCGTGAGCACTCTATGTGACATAGTGCAAAGGGGACTAAACCTGGCAAGAGGCTGGTGCGTGGACATGGGCCTCAGCATCAACCCCACTAAAACGGTTATTGTCCCTTTCACTAGAAGAAGAACGCTTCCAGGCATGAGGAACATTTCTTTGAATGGGGTCGCCATCAACGTCGCCACCGAAGTTAAATATCTAGGACTAACCCTGGATTCTAAACTTCTGTGGAAGGCACATGTTGACGCGGTCACTTCCAAAGCTACGAGGGCACTAATGGTATGCAAACGCCTGGCAGGAAAGACCTGGGGCTGCAGTCCCAGGATTTTGAGATGGATGTATACCATGATAGTTAGACCAATAGTCACCTATGGAGCAGTGGCTTGGGCCTCGAGAACCACCCTCACCACGGTGAGGCAATCCCTCACCAAGCTTCAACGTCTGGCATGTGTATGCATTACGGGGGCAATGCGCACATGTCCGACGGCAGCGCTGGAGGTGATTCTCGAGCTCGAGCCGCTGCACCTTACCATAGAACAGGCTGCAAAGCGAACTCTACTAAATTTCGCGAGGGAAGGCTTTGGCAGGGGCAGAACTATATCATTAAGGAACAGAGACAAGCTAGGCTCCCAAGTTCCGCTAGCTTTACTCCCCAGAGACGACAGGCCTAAGGTGGTTAACTTTGACAGGAATTTCAAAATAGAGCTTTGCACCAAGGCGACCTGGAGCTGCTCTCTCATGGAGAGGCTGATCCAATCGAGCTCGTTGCAATGGTACACAGACGGCTCGAAGACTCCGGAAGGCATTGGGGCTGGCGTCTACGGGCCGAGGCTACAGCTCTCGGTACCTATGGAGGCGTACCCGAGTATCTTCCAGGCGGAGGTCTATGCCATCAGTCTGTGTGCAGAGATTAACCTACGGAGGAATTACCGTAATGAGAGAATCTTAATATTGAGCGACAGCCAGGCGGCACTCAAGGCCCTCTCAGCATTTGAGGTCAAGTCATCCTTGGTTCTTGAGTGCATAGATAGGCTCAACAGCCTGGCAGAGCACAACAAAATCCAATTAACTTGGGTACCAGGACACATAGGAGTTGCGGGCAACGAAGAAGCGGACCGACTAGCTAGATTGGCGGCCGCCTCGTCGCCTATAGGGCCTGAGCCCTGCCTAGCGATTGGACCCAGTACAATCAAGGAAGAGCTCAGGAAAGAAAGGAACATACAAAGGAATCAACACTGGCGCAACACTACAGGTTTACGTCAAGCAAAACAACTACTGGGAGGCTACAACCTCACGAGGTACAGGGCAGTTATCAATCTATCCAAAGGAAAACTAAGGATCATAACAGGTTTTCTGACGGGTCACTGCAGACTGAGAGGCCACCTACACAAGCTAGGGATTTGGTCCAACGACCTATGTCGTTTCTGCGACGTGACCGAGGAGACTCCCGTGCACCTGCTTAGCGAATGCGTGGCGGTCGCGAGAAGACGGGAGAGGCACCTGGGCCACTACTGGCCAAGTAACGAAGCAATACAATCGCTAATCCCTGGGGATCTCCTCAAATTTTTGGGCTCTCTAGGATTAGATGAGGTACTGTAAATGGTTGAGGGCACAATGGACCTGCTGGTCGCAGTGCATGCCTCTATTAATTATCTATCTATCTATGTAGATGACGATACATAATGGCATCGATAACCAAAGAGATTTAAAAATTTAAAATTATAGGATGAATATATGTATCGGTAATTATAACGATGACCATATCGATATGCCCTAACTACAAAACAATAAAGGTTGTGAAAAAAAGATTTTCATACAAATAAAATCGCCGTTCGGAGTCAGCGTAAAGCTGTAGGTCCCTGCCCTTTGCGGGACAACTTCAAGGCGTACACCACAAATCGGAACAGAAGCTCGGTAGCCTTATCATGAGATAAATTTTCATTCCGAAATCGTTCAATTTCCGCTACCGTCTACTGTCGAATGAAAAAAATTCGGGCAAATTTGTTTTCGAGCGAAATTCACGATAAGGCAGATTAGTTTGTAAGCGCCAATCTATTATTACTAAAGGTTGTCATAAATATCCTGACAAACTATGTCATTAAATCGTATGTATATCACCAAAGCAAAAAAATATCGTGTTCTGCTTCTTGATGTTTGCCATTGTCTGCCGCGAGGTGACTAGTATTTAAAACAACTTTCTTTGATGTTGCTGGGACCTGAAATTGACCTCCCGATTTGCCGTAAGCACATTTAAGCACCCGGCTACGGCGGCAAGAGTACTACTCAAAATCGAAAAAGTCAGAATAAATGCAATAGAGTATTAAAAAAAAAAAGTTGAAATAAGACCAAACGTGATTTTTTCGCTGATTTTTATTTGTTTTACATTTGTTCTAAAAAAACGTTGAACATATTTTGCTTTGCTCTTTTCTAAATAAAAGCTATATTTAC